ATGATTCCCACGGGGGCAATTCCCACAGTGCGGGGTGAGTGAATCCCGCTGGAACGCGGTGCGGGGAGGGCCGAGCATCCCGGTTCCCGCTTCCAGGAATCCACTACGTGGGGCAGATGGCGGAGGGGACCCTCACGCGCTTCCTCCTGGACCAGCTCACGGAGGGGCAGCTGCAGTGGGCGCCGCTGTCGCCCTCCTTCGACGCGGTGGTGCTGGGCGAGCCCGGCGCCGGGCGCACCGTGCGCATCCACGCCGGCGGCCGCCGCTACTTCGAGGGCCTGAAGCAGCAGGTAGGCCGCCGCCATCGACGCCTTCCGGAGCCTCCTGAAGGTATCCCGGGCGGAGCGGCCGCGGAGACACCCCCGCCACGGGTGCATGGGGCTCGGGAATGTGCTGGGAAACATCCCCATGGGGAAGTGGTGATTTCCTGTCACCCAGGATGGGGCAATGCTGGGCGTCCCGGAGCAGCAGGATGCTCCTGCATCCATAGGGTGTTCCAGGGGCGGCAGGATGCTCCCACATCCATAAGGTGTCCCAGGAGCAGCAGGATGCGCCCCATGAGCACCGGGATGCTCCTGCACTCGTGGGGCCCCACAAGCGCCGGGATGCTCCCGCATCCCTCGGGCACCCCATGAGTGCCAGGATGCTCCCACGTCCATAGGGCACCCCATGAGTGTCGGGATGCTCCCTCATCCATAGGGCACCCCATGAGCACCGGGATGCTCCTGCACTCGTGGGGCCCCACAAGCGCCGGGATGCTCCCGCATCCCTCGGGCACCCCATGAGTGCCAGGATGCTCCCACGTCCATAGGGCACCCCATGAGTGTCGGGATGCTCCCTCATCCATAGGGCACCCCATGAGCACCGGGATGCTCCCACACTCGTGGGGCCCCACAAGTGCCGGGATGCTCCTGCATCCATAGGGCGCCCCGCAAGCGCCGGGATGCTCCCGCATCCTTTGGGCACCCCATGAGCACCGGGATGCTCCCACACTCGTGGGGCCCCACAAGTGCCGGGATGCTCCTGCATCCATAGGGCGCCCCGCAAGCGCCAGGATGCTCCCGCATCCTTCGGGCACCCCATGAGCAGGGCGGTGCCGGGGGTTCCCCGCGGATGAGCGAGCCGCGCCGGGATCGCGCCCGGAGCATCCTGCATTAGCAGCCGGCGATCGGCTTAGGCGGGGGCCGAGCTGCGCCGGGCTAATCCCGAGCTTCGCCCTTTCGCCCTCCGGCTTCTTCCTGGGAAGGGAGGAGTGGTGCTGGGGGCTTTGCAATGGGAATGGGAAACCTGGAAAGGGGATTTGGGGATGAGAGAGGGCTGGAGCACCAGGGGCTGTCAATGGGAATGGGAGCCCTGGAAAGGGGATTTAGGGATGTGAGAGGGCTGGAGCACCAGGGGCTTTCTGTGGGAATGGGAGCCCTGAAAAGGGAATTTGGGGGTGTGAGAGGGCTGGAGCACGAGGGGCTGTCAATGGGAATGGGAGCCCTGGAAAGGGGA